CCTCTCCTCTTCTCTCCTCTCCTCTTCTCTCCTCTCCTCTCCTCTCCTCTCCTCTCCTCTCTCTCCTCTCCTCTCCTCTCCTTCCTCTCTCCCTCCTCCTCTCCTCCCTCTTCCCTCCCTCTCCTCGCTCTCCTCGCCTCTCTCTCCTCTCCTCCTCCTCTCTCTCCTCTCTCTCCTCTCCTCTCTCTCTCCTCGCCTCTCCTCTCCTCTCCTCTCCTCTCCTCTCTCTCCTCTCCTCTTTCCTCTTCCTCTCCTCTCCTCTCCTTCCCCTCTCCTACTCCTCTCTCTCCTCTTCCTCTCCCTCTCCCTCTCCTCTCCTCCCTCTCCTCTCTTCTCCTTCGACCTCTCTGCCTCGCCTCTCACTCCTCCCTGCTCTTCTCCCCGTCCCTCCGCTTCTCTCTCCTCCCTCTCCTCTCCCTCTCCTTCTCCTCTCCGCTCCTCTCCTCCTCTCCCTCCTCTCCTCTCCTCTCCTCTCCTCTCCTCTCCCTCTCCTCTCTCTCCTGCTCCTGTCCTCTCCTCCCTCTCCTCTCATCACCTCTCCTCTCCTCTCCTCTCCTCCTCTCCTGCTCGTCCTCTCCTCTCTCCTCTCATCTCTTTTTTCTTCTCCTCTCCTCTCCTTTCCTCCCCTGCAGCTAGTATCTCCCCCTGCAAGCTGGTACCTTCCCCCTGCCAGCTAGGCTACCTCCCCGACACAGTACCTCCCCCCTACAGCTCAGTACCTCTCCCCTCCCCTGCCAACGAGTACCTCCCCTGCCCAGCTAGCTACCTCCCCCTCCATACAGCTATACCTCTCCCCTCCCGCTGCAGCTGATACCTCCCCTACAGCTAGTACCTCCCCTGCCAGCTGTACATCCCCATACAGCCCGAGTACCTCCCCTGCAGCTAGTACCTCCCCCTGCAGCTAGTACCTCCCCTGCAGCTAGTACCTCCCCTGCAGCTAGTACCTCCCCTACAGCTAGTACCTCCCCTGTAGCTATACCTCCCCTGCCCAGCTAGCTACCTCCCCTCAGCTAGCACCTCCCCTGCAGCTCAGCTACCTCCCTGCAGCCTAGTACCTCCCACTGCCAGCTATACCTCCCCTGCCAGCTAGTACCTCCCCTGCCAGCCCTAGTACCTCCCCTGCAGCTAGTACCTCCCCTGCAGCTAGTACCTCCCCTGCAGCTAGTACCTCCCCCTGCAGCTAGTACCTCCCTGCCCAAGCTTAGACCTCCCTTGCAAAGCTGAGTCCTTCCCCTGCCCAGCAGTACTTCCCCTGCAGCTCTAGACCTGCCCCTGCCACTAGTAACCGCCCCTGCACAGGCTACCTCTCCCTGCAGCTAGTACCTCCCCTGCAGCTAGTACCTCCCCTGCAGCTAGTACCTCCCCTGCAGCTAGTACCTCCCCTGCACTAGTACCTCCCCTGCCCAAGCGAATACCTCCCCCGCAGGTATACCTCCCCTGCAGCTAGTACCTCCCCTGCCCCCAGCTGAGTACCTCCATGCAGCTATACCGCCCTGCAGCTAGTACCTCCCCTACAGCTAGTACCTCCCCCTGCACTATACCTCTCCCTTGCATTATACCTCCCCTGCAGCTAGTACCTCCCCTGCAGCTAGTACCTCCCCCTGCAGCTAATACCTCCCCCTCTTCTCCTCTCCTTTCCTTCCTCCTGTAGCTAGTTAGCTTGCACTTCAGCTCCGGCAATAAACACGCTAATCTGGCCTTCTCGTTTTCATTATGATCACGTCGTATTTGCATATGCAAATGAGATTGCCGCTCGCTGCTGCTGCCGCCGCCGCTGCTGCCGTCTCCGCCGCGTGCTGGGGGCTGAGTGGGTTGATGATAAAAGCCACAAGGGAGGAGGGTGGGAGGGAAAGAGGAGGGAGGGAGTGGGATGATGATAAAAGCCGCAAGAGAGGAGGGAGGGAGAGAGAGAGGAGGGAGGGATGGA